ACAAATTAATAAAATCATTTAATACTTATTCCATAATGGCAAGTTTTCTTAATTATCAAGTACCTTAACTTTACTATTTTCTCTAACTAGGCAAGCTCAAGAAAGAGAATAATATTCAAGAAATTCTGGTAGTCCGAGACTTTCCAGATGTGTTTCCAGACGAACTACTCGGACTACCAGTGGATAGGGAAGTCGAGTTCACCGTAGACTTACTGCCAGACACCCAGCCCATTTTGGTTGCTCCTTACCGCATGAGCCGCGTTGAGATGGAAGAGCTGAGAAAATAGATTATTAAACTACAAGACAGTGGTTTTATTAGACACAGTGTGTCCCCTTGGGGTGCCGGAGTCACTTTTGCCAGGAAGGGAGATGGAACGTTGAAACTGTGTATTGATTACAGAGGATTGAATAAGGTCACAATCAAGAACAAATGTCCCCTTTCCAGAATTGATGACCTCTTCGATCAGCTGCAGGGTGCCCAAGTCTTCTCCAAAATAGACCTGCGATCAGGTTACCATCAGGTGAAAATAAGAACAGAAGACATCCCCAAGACGGCCTTTCGAACCAGGTACGGACACTATGAGTTCCTGGTCATGCCATTCGAGCAAACCAATGCCCCGACCATCTTTATGGACCTGATGAATAGGGTCTTCAGAGAATTCTTGGATCAATTTGTTATCGTGTTCATCGATTACATATTGGTCTACTCAAAATGCAGAGAAAAACATGCTCACCATCTAGCCCAAGTTTTGCAGGTCCTAAGAAAAAATAAGTTATATGCATAGTTGAGTAAAAGTGGATTCTGGCTTGAGCAGACCGCCTTTCTATGACATATCATATCGAAGGAAGGAGTATCAGTGAATCCCGAAAAGGTTGAAATGGTACTTGGCTGGGAGAAGTTGACATCAGTTAAGAAAATCCGTAGCTTCCTGGGAATGGCCGGTTATTATCGCAGGTTTGTTCGAAGGATTTTCTAGCATAGCGGCTCCCGTAACCCGACTCACAAAGAAGAATGACAAGTTTGAGTGGAATGAGGACTACGAAAGAAGTTTTTCAGAATTAAAGAAGCATCTGACCACTGCACCTGTGCTGGCCTTACTGAGTGGATTGGGGGGGATATAGAGTTTATAGTGATGCCTCCTATCTAGGCCTGGGTTGTGTTCTAATGCAGTATGGGAAGGTCATAACCTATGGATCCAGACAGTTAAAGAATCATTAGAAGAATTATCCCACCCATGACTTGGAGCTTGCCGCAATCATACACGCCTTGAAAACCTGACGCCATTATTTATACGGAGAGATCTTTCAGATCTATACCGATCATAAGAGTTTGAAACACATATTCACTCAAAAGATCTCAACATGCGTCAGAGAAGGTGGATGGAACTCCTCAAAGACTATGATTGTGATATCTTGTACCCTCCGGGTAAGGACAACGTGGTAGCAGATGCTCTCAGTAAAAAAAGTACAAGTATTTTAGCCCATTTGATGGTTTCAGAATGCAGACAAATTGGGGCCACACAATAGGCTCGACTTCAAGATTTGAAGAGAGTCACATGTTTGGGCCATCTGACCATACAACGCGAGTTAATCCAGAGGATAAGGGAAGCCTAGTCAGTCGACCCCGCCCTAGTAGCCCACAAGATTGATGCAGAACAGGGAGTGAGCTCAGAATTCCGAGTCTCTACTGATGTGTTACTCCGATTACAGAACAAGGTGTGTGTCCCAGACGATAGTGAGTTAAAAGGAGACATCATGATAGAGTCCTATAGCTCGAAGTTTGCAATGCATCCCGGAAGCACCAAAATGTACCAAAGTATGCGATCCCGATTTTGGTGGAATAGGATGACGAGGGACATAGCTGACTTTGTATCTACATGCTTGGTATACCAGCAGGTCAAGGCAGAGCATCAGCGCACATGCGGGTTACTTAGCCTTTACCGATCCTAGACTGGAAGTGAGAACATATCACCATGAACTTCGTAACGGGGTCACCCAAGGCTCTTTCAGGACATAACGACATCTGGGTAATTATTGACTGGCTTACCAAGTCTTCCCACTTCTTAGCAATCAGGATGACCGATCCCATGGACAAGTTGGCAAGAATGTAAATCCGAAAAATAGTCAGATTGCATGGAGTTCTGGTGACAGTGGTATCCGACAGGGACCCCAAGTTCACCTCTCGGTTTGGGAGTAGCTTTCAGCAAGCCATGAGAACAAAGATGTCTCTCAGTACTGCCTTCCACCCTCTGACTGATGGACAATCAGAACGGACAATCCGTACACTTGAAGATATGCTTCGAGCTTGTGTCCTTTGACTCTGGGGGCCATTGGGACGACTATCTGCCCCTGATAGAATTTGCCTACAACAACAACTACCAAGTGAGCATTGGCATGACTCCGTATGAGGTGTTATACGAGCGTCCATGCAGATCCCTGATTTCTTGAGAAGAAGTGGGTGATAGAAAATTGTTCGGCATGGAGCTAGTAGAGGAGCCACATCCAAGATAGTTAAGATCAGAAGAAACATTTAGGCGGCGGAGCCGTCATGCCGGAATTTCGAAATTGGCGGAATAGGCCCTGGGTGTGATTTTGAGTTATTTGGGGACATGTGTAGGTACCAGAAGTGTGTTTCAGTTCTTGAGGAGAAATTCAGGAAATTTAGGAATTGCCCGTTGGCGCAGTGAAAGACCGTTTTTAGACTCCAAATCAAGTAAAGATCTCTCATCTTATTTCCTATCACGATATTAAAGTTTAATAAATGATAAAACGGTATTTTATGAATTAATAGATATGTATAATTAATTGAGTTTTCTAATGGAGCCCTAATATGATATATTTTTCGATCAGTTCCTGTTTTATTTATTTTACAGTTTTAAATGTGTTACGGTATGTGGCTTATTTATTCTATTATTTTGAATGCATGAATCACTGTTTGCTTCACTGCTGCTTGATTTTGTGAATTTAATATATGCTTGCCTTGTGTATGCACGTTGCTTGCTTAAATAGTTATGTTTGAATGGGTAACGAAGACTAAAGGTAAATAGGAATGAGATTGAATTAATAATTGAGTAAGTTGACAGCCTCACTAGATATCTTGAGAGATGGTGGACGGACCGGGTCCATAGGGAAGCCTACCGAGAATGTTGTCTCATACCGGACGGGGTATGAAAACTTTAAATATTTTGGTA